GATGCCGGTGTGGTGATACTGCTGAGTAATACTGAGCCTTATAAAGTCCGAGTTGGGAAGTGATAGAGAAGAATGGGATGTTTCATGGGGCTGGTTTTGGCTTGTGGGAGGGAGGGCTGCTTACTCTTTGTCGTCACATGAGGATATACGGAGGAAAGACTTACTGTGCGTCATCAACTGATTGGGGCTAAATAATGACGTTCGGTGCTTGATGGGACTAGAAGCTCGGTAGATGTTTGGAGCCGGAGGTGAGATGTTAGTATCACGACTGATGAAACATGTGTTGAGATTGGTCTGGGCTGTCTGCTGTCATCACCATGTCATCACAAGCCCACACACTGGTACACCCACAAGAGAGAGTGTGTTGGACAATATTCAGCCATCGGTCTCAAAACATGTGCTTCTCGCACAAAACATCGCCGAGTCCCGAGTCTCCAGTTTCAGAATCCGCCCGGAGTTTCTTTCCCGTGCCGGATCCGGAGTTGGTGCCCGGCTCCTCCTGCTATCTGCCAACTTACATTATGAGTTGGTTGTACCTGTGCTACCGCCTAGAGATGCTGTTATGCGGATGGGTGGCTGATATACTATCAGTTGGCGTCGAGGAGAGAGAGAGTAAGCGCTGAAGGATTTGTGTTACACAGTGGGACGTCTCTGGGAGATGGTGTGCATGATGTATTCTTGTTTTGCTAAAAGGGGGGTAATGAACGGTTATATCTCAGTTGGAGCCAGAATAGGGAAAGTAGGTGTGGAATGATTCAGTGCTACTGGTTGAGCAAAAGAAGCTGGTGTAGTGAACGAGGTCACGGCGAAGCAGGTGCTAACGTGGTGACGCTGAGGGCCGCAGGTTGGGTGAAATTTTTGATGGACATCTGAGATGCCGTTTACCTCCAGTGCTGAAGGTGTTGTGGCATTTGTTTGGCCATTTTATGGAAACAGAAAACGTGGGGGAAGTAAATCTCAATGCTTTGGGCTCAGTCTTGGTAAGCGTTTGATATGTCGACCTGCACACATGATAGGATGGTCAGGCATTCCTCTGCTTCCTCTTCACCCGGATCATGTGTCAGGCAGAAAGGGGGCATGTTATCATAGAGCAAATATACTGCCACGTCGCGAACAGAGAAGTTGGGTCTGCTGATTAGTTCAGGGCCTTAAAATAATTCAAGGCCTTCAAAGATAGCCCAAGGCCTCCCAAAATACTTAATAGGCCGTTTAAGAATAATAAAGGGCTCTTGAATATATATCATAGGTCTTTAAAGATAGCTTGGGGGTGGTTTAAGATAGTCGAGAGGTGTGTTGACAATCTTTCCAGCCGCTGATAGATGGGTTAAAGCCGAGCCTGAGGCTTCTTCAGAGCGGAGCTCGGACTGGATGGGGAGGTGAGGTCGTTCCTGCCTTCCATCAGCTTAACAAAGTGATAGTTGCTTCTGTCGGCAGGTACGTTGCCCACCTGCGATGGTGGTACCTCGATCCGCACCTGCTTCAGAAGCAGAGGTGACGCATACCTCCACCCCGACTCTACCAAATCATCGACATCTCCTTTCTTGCTGCCAGGCAGTCTACTTTTCGACACTCCCGTGGGCAATGACCGACTGGCAAGAGACGGCCCCAACGACAAACGACAAGATGGCTCTAAGCGGGGACATTGCGACCAAACGTCCAACTGGGCCGCTCAGCAACGTGGACTTGCCAGATTAGTTTGCACATCCTAAAGCCCCGATGAGTGCTTATGACAGTTTATCTAACAATGAGGTAACAGACGAACTCGAATTTTCAGCCGCTTCCAACCAAGGGGGATTGAAGCGGAAACTGCCGGTCACGGTCACCAATGATAAAGGCGAAGAAAACAAACCACATTGTCCAGAGCCATAGCGCAATGACAATTGCTCAGATTGTTGGTCAGATGGTCGTTGGTTGGATGACAAGGCCATCCATGATGTTCTGACACCTCTGGTACTTTGTGGGCCCGACTTTCGACCATCGACCCCGTTCTCGTCGAGGATGACGGCAAATATTTTGGGAAGCTTCACACCCCGTCAGGCTCCAAGAGCCCAGAGGCAAATATCTTGGTGGCCATTAACATTCGAAACGAGCACTGGGTTCTGGGACACTTGGACAAAAGACACCCACAAGGCCGTTATATACGATTCTTCTGCTTCCCAGTTGTACCATGGCTCTGCCACGAGGCCGATCGATCATTTCATCGGCCAGCATGAACTAGGAACTGAATGGTCAGTAGAGGTCGGAAAGTGCGCACCCCAAGCAGACAAGCACGATTGTGGCGTATTTACACTTGTGAACGCGGTTCATATCGTCACCGGGATGGAGCTACCGACAGAAACCCATGGTGACCTTTGGAGGAAGGTCCTCCCTTTTTTACTTGGCAAGGAGCCGATGGGCGATAGCTTTCCGGAAGGAAAGGATCTAGTTCATGTTGTTGACTTTGGCACAATGGAAGTAATAGTCTCGTATCACCTGACATCCCAGATAGTAGAGCAGACATTGGAACCGTAGGAACAAATGGGATTCTATGTGAACGAACTCCAGTTGGCTCAGTGCTCGTGGTGACTTGTGTGCTTCTTGGAGACCTGTTTTGAGTCTGGGTTGCCTTTGCTTTTCTGTTGTTGAAGGGGGTGTTATGGAGTGAGCCTGTGGAATGAGATCACAAGAGAGGATTAGATGTCGGTTACGGATGGCACCTGCGCTCATGGTCCTGGCAAGCACGACTTATCCCACACCACATTTCACCTGGCGTTGTGGGTGGCTCACTCCCCGTCAGACATGAGGTGAAGGAGAAGCTTCGGTTCATAAGTTTTCTTTTGTCCATCTCTTCGGGTGTTTGGTAATGCACCCAGAGTCTTCACAGAGCGCCGGGTGTGCAGCTACATGGGAGATTGAAGTCGTGTCCAAACCGGCTCAATCTCGACGTATGCCTCTTCCTCTTCCTAATTTGGACGACAGTGTCTTTTGCGAAGTGCTTTTAATTCCGCCCATCACAAGCTCAGCATAGAGGGATATCTCTCCGCCCGTTGGGCATGATACCTCCGCCTTGTCTCGGATGTAAGAATCCTACAGCCTCGTGTAAGTCCAATGTCCTATTTAGAACACCCGCCCAGCTGTCAGTTCAAAATCACCCCGTCCCTCTTCCGGATAACTGCTCAACCGAGACACACATAACAAACCATCAGTGTTCTCGGAAGATCGCAAGTCACACCTTTCTTTTCTCTGTCTGGATCTTTCGCTTATTATCTTTGACTGGCCCGGCCATCTGCCCTTGCCATCTGACTGGTGCGCTTCCGTCATATCAATACCCAAAAATTCCCCGGTCTCAACTTGCAGGTTTTACAGCAATATTCCAAAACATTACGGACCAACGACAGCGGCCTGACGGTAGAGCGGAGGCGATAACATCCAAAAGATCAACACCCCTCAAAGCCCAAGCTCAAAGACATGAATGCCACTACGGCATGTATTTCTCACCGCCAACCCCCCCTAAACCAACCACGCATCATCTGGTACGATCGATGCCAACATTCATCATGATATGGGATTGTCAAATTTTTGCTCTTTTTTTTCTTCCTTTTTTCTTTTTTTTCTTTTTGCTTCTTCCCACCGATGACAGTGTCGATCTCCGAAAAGCCGCGGGATCGTATCTGCTACAAGCACGATCATGCCACTACCTGGTATTTCTTGCTGCATGATATTATTTGGCATAATGATAGTTTATGCCATCAGCCAGGCTTTTGATGGGTATTCTCCCTGAAAGAAAAAGAAAAAAAAAACAAGCGTTAAACGTGAGAGGGAGGAGGAGCCAAAAAAGAGATGTCCTGTCTAACCAACGGCAAGGCTGCGAGCATATCTAGCTCCCCCTCCCGATCCTCGGACACACGATAACAGAAGTAAGGCTGTCAATAAACTCCATGCGTCTGCTTGTGTGTGTAAAGTACCAGAGACATCTCGTATATACGTCGATGGCGTTCCAATACTAGCTGAACCATCATCACCACAAACGCAATAATTATGTCCGGTTCGCTTTTCTGGGTACACTTGCACTCATCACACCTTCTCATAGGTAACCGGGCAGAAAAGACGGACGGGTTACATCTTTGTCCCACCCCATCCACGAACCAACCATCTCGATCTCCTCCACTCGATCTTCGTTACAATAGGCATACCACCCTCCTCCCCACCACTTGTACCCCCCAAGATCATGCCAGGTCCCGATGTCAAGGTGGATGCGGGAGAAAAAAGAGGGAAAGATGGTGGTGTATAGTACCGCTGCGGCCTCTAGCAACAACAAAACCGATTGTGACATCTCCGAGAAACGAAAATTCCGGGGCTAGCCGCTCGTTCCCCCCCAACCGCTCCCCAAAACCCCCCCCCCATATAAAACGGGTGATTAGCTCCCGTCCCCATCTCACGGATAGTTTCCTAGCTGTATGTACTCCTCAGATTTCTGATTTCCGATCTGTCATAAAATTTTCCGGGAAATAAAAGCTGCGCAAGAAATGAGAGGTTGAGAGAGGCGTACCAGCAAACTACATGGTTCCAAACCGGGTATCTGGATCTTGCGTAACCCGGCGAAGCAGTCGTACACTTTTGAGGGGCGCTTGCTGTGGTGGTGTTGTAGTCGAAAAGCCCCCCCGTCTTCCGGTGTGAATTTGCGCAGATAACTACAAGTCGGAGAATCGGGTCGACATTCTCCGGTGTCAGTTGTCCAATTCCCGTGGGTCTGTCTCACTTCTGTCTCTCCTTACCCGCGCTGTCATCCTGTTACCCATAGACACAAAGTCAGTCTCAAAAATAAACCTCTCTCCCTACCTTGACTTTTGTTACATTGATGAGCAGTCCAGATCTCAGATCCCAAAAGTTAGATATTGTTACTAACTAACGAGATTCTGGTGTTCGGTCCCTCTCTCCCGGGCAACCACCCCCCCCCACCCCCCTTCCCCGTCCTGCTGTGTTACCCATCACGAGGGCATAGCCAACCAGGTAAACCGACATCAGATCTTGCCCATCACCAACCAACGCCGGCCATTGCACTGCCATCGGAGGATACCTATGCTGATCAGGCCAGAAGCGAGAACTGCTGCGAGGAACGCCACGAGGCCATTAGATCCGTGTCTGTCAAGGATCGCTCCGGTTGCGGGGTTCCCTATCAAAGTCCTGAGAGGTTTTGTTCAGTATAGAGAGATAAGTGATCAGAAAAATCTGGAGAACTTACGCAAACCCCGAAATTGCATAGGCGAAGCCTAGCCATTTCCCCATGTCTTGAGGCTTACAAAGAGCACCCATGCAAGCCACTACACGACTGAAACGTCAGCAAGTCTTCAAGCCAGGAATATGTTTCCTGAAATCCTACCGCCTAGAGGCACAAAGCTTCCTGTGCCGATGCCCATAAGAACAACCACCAGATAGAGCATGTCGATGGAACTCGCTCCCGCCGGCAGCCAGATGGCAAGTACCGCTGTCAATGTGAAAATGTTCATGGCTATGGTTGTGTTCAGCGGACCAAGCAACCTATCGGACACAAACGGTGGCAAGATTCTCCCAAATGCAGCGCCAATGTTGTACGACATCATGAGGTAGAACTGCTTCTCCCCAAAGTTGGTCGCCACGGCGTAAGGGGGGATCGACCCCCATTGGATGAAGAGGACAAGTTCGTATGCTGCGCACAAATGTCTGAGTTAGTATTGCCCAGTCGACGTCTTTCTGGACCACCAAGGTCACTCACCGAATATGGCATAAGTAATGAGCCAAAATTTGGGGTTTTGGATGATCCCCAGTATCGACTGCCATGTGCCGCATGCCTTCCGGGAGATCTCCGTTTCTCCTGCCGTCCTTTGCTCTCCCTGCGTCTTAGATTGCGGCGGTAGGTTGATCTCAACGAGCAGATTGCCCAACGTGACAAACACGGCCAGGATGAGAGTCAAGATCAAGGCTGCATCCCTCCATTGCAGCCGGTCAAACAGACTCTGGAGCACAAGTGAGAAGAACATTCCGCCCAATGCCGCACTGACGGTCACGCACCCCGTGGCGAGGCCGGCCTTCTCTTTGAACCAATGGCTCACGACTGCAAAGGCGACTGTCGTGATAGTTGCTACACCGCTCATGTTAGCCCGCGTATGTTGCTACTCCCAAACTTGCTTCTGATGAGCCACGTACCAGATGAGACTCCTGCCACCACCATGCAACCCATCAGCTCGCTATAGGTTGACGAGAAAGCCAGACCTACGAAGGACGCAAGATATGCCATGCTGTTGACCGCCAAGACCCACCTTGAACCATATCGGTCGAATACAATGCCTGCCGGGGCCGCTACGAAGCAGTCCAGAAAGCCAAACATGGATATGATCCACGAGATCTCGCTGTCTGTGTATTCCTTGAGCATGTCTTCTTTCCAGTGTGTCTGAAAGAGACCGATGGTGCTCAACAGTCCGTAAACGGCCACCGATAGACAGTAAGAGCCTATCACGACCTTCCATGGCCGCCAACCCCGATCCATCTCGGCCTGTGGCGCCGATCCGTTGGGCGGACATGCAGCCAAAACGACATCTGCATACTCCAAGTCCCTGGTTGCCGGTGTTGCCATCTGCGGTGGCTTTTCAGCAAGAGCCGAAGCCGACTGACGATCTTGATGTCTGAAGCAAGGGGTCTGTCAGATCTCACTTTCTTAAACGCTTGAATCTCCTACTTGCATGCATGCAGGATTGGGTCCCCATACTTCATCTTGGTTTCTTCCGCTGGCGGTGTCGTGGTGTTGGAGCCTCTCGGATCGAACATCATGGCCGGAAAAGTATATGAGGGTCGTAGCTGCAGGGCAACAAACTCAAAACTCGGCGAACAATCTGGCTCAACGGTGACGAAATTCTGCCCCTGGATCAAACCGATCAAACCCGACTCAGATTGGTGCTCAAGTCGCGTTAGCTCCGGTCTAGAGACGAAGATCCCAACGGTCAACCGGCGTCGAGGTGTGTTTATACACCGCAGGAGCCTCAGTTTTCACCAAGAGCACAGTGAGAAAACCTGGCCTGGGCTCGCTCTCCCAAGGCATGTTGTCCCCCACCATCAGGAGCATATCCCGCGCTCACTTCTTCATACTGACACCACTCCGTAGTGGGGCGTTGGGGCAGATATTGGATGAGAGTCTGGGATGGGAAGGTGTTAAGCAACCCTTGCTGCATTCCGGCCAGCAAAACCTGGAGATCTGGTGAGAAAGAGGTCCTACCTGACAGCGAGATTCAGTGTCACGGTATCTGAGAGGCCCATTCTCAAAGTCCTTTGTGATTGTTGAGCTGTAAAAACAGTGGGAGAGAGCATCGCAAGAACACGGGATTAAGACTTGCGGCAAATATCCTGAATAGTGCGGCCCAACCTCCTGACTCTCGACCGTCCAAGGCTATATATACTCCAACTTTGAAACATCAAGCAGGCTGGCGGTCAGCTGGTGAGTGCGTCGGTCCCGAGGCACGCAACTTCGTTGGGGTAGAGTGGGCTGCTAACCATCTCGTGAGGGAAAGAGCATCAGGCGAATAATAGGACAATCTGCTTCACCGTGCCTGCTAGGAGAAGCTCGCACAGAGCACCAGTCAATTTACTCGGTCGCCTCAACAGAGAATATTGAGTTGCTCATGTATAGTGAATAGTGTGACGGCGGAGAGCAACGACACCGTGTGAAACCCGACCCACCTGGATAATTCACTCTCATCTGTATTGTCACCACACCATCTTATCTGAGGCTCTGGACGGGGAGTATAAGTAGCACTTGCTGTTCCCCGGCCTCAATATCCCCCACTTCCTCTCAGAAACAAGGCAAGAGGATAGGATATCTTACCAGTCGACACTCGAGATCACCCAAATCAAACCACATCTCCTTCACAACCGCCGACCGAGAAGCCTTTCGATATTCTCATCAGCCCGGCCATCAACATGGTGTCCTTGCTGTCTCGCCACGGGCCTTCCGTCTGCCTCCGCGCCCCTGCCTTGGCTCGCACAGTCACAGCAGTGCCCCATCGCCAGGCCCAAGTCGCCGATGTAGGCAAAGGCCTTGAGACTACCACCAGCAGAATTCCCCTCTTTATGAACAGAAAGAGTGCGGCCAAGAGCACGACTCCTGCTCCAATCGTACGCCCCGTTGCCACCGCGCTTCCCCAAGACAGGGATGAGTTCTGGCGCGAGGTACCTGTTTGGGAGAATGTGTCGGCCAAGGACTTTCTCTCATATCGTTGGAGCGTAAGTCTGGTGCCATCAACTTTCCTTTTGTCGGTACACGGCCATGAGCTTATACACAATGTCCCCTAGGTTGCCAATACTGTGCAGGGCACAGCCAAGCTGTTCAAGTTTCTGCAGGCTGTCGTCCCGGAAGAAGTGCCTCTGAATGAGCTGGGCACGCAGATGCAGTCTCGCGATGAGTTCATCGCGGATGTTATGGAGGGTGTGGCTGCTGCAACGATGGCCATACGAATGACGTGAGTTGACCGCAAACCTGTTGAAAGTCCAGGGATGTTAACCAAGAGCTTCAGTCCGTACATCTTGAGTCGGGTCAACTGGGAGAACCCCCGGCACGACCCCATCATTCGCCAGTTTCTTCCTCTCAAGTCGGTGCTCATTCCCGATCATCCCAAGTTGGCGCTTGACTCGCTTCACGAGGAGGCCGACTCCCCCGTCAAGGGCCTTGTTCATCGGTATAGCGACAAGGCCCTCTTCCTGCGTGAGTTTGTCGATGTTTTGTGTGTAGAAAGTGGCCCGCTGACAAGCCGCTAGCAACCTCGGTGTGCCCAACTTATTGCATGTTCTGCACGCGGTCCTACGCTGTGGGAGCCGATACGGACACTGTCACCAAGGCATCTCTGAAGCCGACCCGCAGGAGATGGGAGGAGGCCTTCGCGTACATCGAGAACACGCCCGCCCTGCAGGATATTGTCGTCTCTGGAGGCGACTCTTACTACCTGCAACCGGATCAGCTCAGAATGATTGGCGACAGGCTGATTGGCATGCCCAACATCAAGCGCTTCCGCTTTGCCTCCAAGGGACTGGCGGTAGCCCCGAGCCGTATCCTGGACGAGTCGGACGGTTGGGTCAATGCCCTCATCGACATATCCAACAAGGCCAAGAAGGCTGGAAAAGCTGTTGCCTGGCACACTCACTTCAACCACCCCAACGAGATCTCGTGGATCAGCAAAGATGCTAGTCAGAAGTTGTTTGAGGAAGGCGTCATGGTCCGAAACCAGACAGTGCTTCTGCGGGGCGTGAACGACGATGTCGACACTATGTCGAAGCTGATCCGTGATCTTGCCGACAACAAGGTCTTCCCTGTGGGTAATTCCTTGCTGATATGGCCAAGCTGTATATGCACAGTGGCAAGTGATGTAGCAAACGTTGCTGACGCAGCCGCAGTATTATGTCTACCAGTGCGACATGGTGGAGAGAGTTGAGCATCTGCGGACACCCCTGCAGACCATTCTCGACCTCGAGGCCCGCATCCGCGGCTCCATCGCGGGTTTCATGATGCCTCAGTTCGTCGTCGATCTTCCTGCCGGCGGTGGTAAGCGTTTGGCCTGCTCGTACGAGTCATATGACCCCAAGACAGGGCTATCGACTTACATGGCTCCGGCTGTGACGGGCCGCGACAAGGAGAACAAGGTCTACGAGTACTACGACCCCATCGACACTCTCCCCAACTAAAGATTCGACCGCCTAGATAGGGCACACCGAGTAGACGAGATACAGGCCATGATGATGTGACTTTGGCCAGATCAAATGGGGAAAGCGTTTTGGTATTTTTTTTTCGTGGCGTTTGCATGTGGTGCCAAAGTGAGGAGGTTTGGTGTGCAACAGTCACCAGGTTGCCAGGATGCTTGTCTGGATCGTGACGGGAGTGGCAGAAGTGTGTGCATCTGATACAGCAGAGGCGGGGAACCGGTGAGGGTGGAAATCTGCGTCAAAGGGTAGGGCGGAAACAAATTATGACATGTTATATGAGCGGGACACAAGCGATAGAGCGGAATCAGTGTTTTCTAGACGCAATTTTGACTCGAATGAGAGGGAAATGCATCTCGCACAGTGCCTGAGGTTGTAGGTTGCCGACGAATTTCACGATGGCGGACACTTGAATCTTGCTTGTCTGTGGTCGGTTGCTCCTTCCGCTTCCTTGGGAACTTACCTACCTATTGCTTGGCTCTGATTGGCTACTGACCGTGTAAGACAAGGGTCTCCATCAATCACCAGACACATTTTTGGTCTGAAGCTCTTCCCTACAGACTGAGAACCCCCAGAAATGCTACGTAGTAGCAGCGACAACTGAGGCAGACCTCATGATCAACGCTCGGCCGTACATCTGTGAAGCTTAATTCGACGATTGCAATCCTATCCCCTTCAATCCGCCTACCTTATCTGAAACGGTGAAGGTGGGACACTCACTCTGTGCTGAGAGCTTCTAGGATCATCAACAGGAAGCAAGTTCAAAACCATGCCAAGGCCGGTTTTTATTGGCATAGACGGCCGCATAGGTAGGTAGGATTCGAGATGGACTTCACCGCCGAATATCCAGGCGGCACAGCTAACCCTGTATCTTTTGTTTGTGTCCGGCGAGACTCCCAACTGGGCATGACTTCTCCTAGGCATCCACCAGAGGCCAGATCTTGACCTCATAGACGGAATGTGCCACTTCCAACCGCCAGGGATTCAGCCTGGCCTCCCAGGTCGCCGGATCTCGCCTCGTATCCTTACATTGGCATCCGTGGTCGTGGGGGTTGAGCAACCCATCCAAAGGCCCTGATGGGATCCTCGAAAGAGATTGGGATACTCACACGAACGGCCAGCGCCTTCCTTACGGTTCCCTGCAGCATCGATATCTTCTTTCTGCGCTGCACATACTTGAATTCACTGCCCTGCGTTCGGAGTGCCGGATGAGCGGACGACGACAGCGTCGATGACTGCCGCCCCTAGCAAGGGCTGATAGGACCCAGGTACAACTATTTTGATAGATCTCGAGATCTCGGGGCTGCCAGGCCGAGTGAACCGGATGTCTGGACCCATCGTCCACCCATCCCATCTGATCGCCTATTAAACGGTTAGCCGTATTAAGCCACAAGGGACTGGCCGGAAGATCCATGATGGAGGAGACTGCCCCCTTGCCGGGTAAAAAATGGGGGTTTGCCGTCTGTAGTTGGGAGGAAAAGCGCGAGGCTGAACAGGAGGAAGCGAGCACAACATTGAAGTTGTCACACAACACGGCCATTGCTTGTGCGTCGCTGAACAGCATGGGGGTTGTCGGTATTTGCTGAGCCGTTCTCTTCCAGCGGCATGGTAAATAGAGATTCAAGACAAGATTATGATTGCCGAATATTGGTTCCTCGCCTCTCTTGTCATCGTTTATGATGTCAGCACAGTTATGAAAAGTGCTCGGCAAAAACAACTGACTCGATTAGCATACGATCCCGGAGGAATTCCAGAACGATCAGCCTACCTTCACCGCAAGGGTGGAGATGTTCTTCAATGATACTCCGTAGCTCGGACGGGTTGAAAGTGGTACCCAAGGAAGAGCGGTAAAGTTTTGCCTTAGCCGAGATACCGAAGACCTTCACCCGCAACTGGATGGCGACATGGTTTGGCGAACGGTGAAAAGACGGTTGCTAGGAGTTGCGGCTGTTTCAAAACTCTCTGCACAAGAGAGCGATGAAGATGCAGTCAGGCTGCGGGGTTAGGGAGGTGCGGTATCTGAACGACACGTGTCGGTGAGTGGGAATTTCATCATGGGCAGAGAGATGCGGAAGATCGGGCCCAGAGAGACGCGAAGTGCCCTTCTGGGCATCGCGATGTTTCTTCGAATTCTGCTTCTGGAAACAAGAGGCCATCAGGGGGGGACCCCTGAAGAACCCCACGCACACCTTGCTTCCCTGAGAGGGGGGGACGCTACCTATTGGTGAGTTTTGTCAGGCGAGACAGCTGTGGAGACAGAGTTCGCAGGATCTCACTCACCCCGCGTTGCCGTAGCCAGCTCACTGATGAGATCAATAACAACGGTTTTTCCACTGCCAACATTTTTCTACTTATGCAAGCATTTTATTACAGGAAAAAACCATGAAAGGGAATACCTTGACAAGACATGTGAAAACTCAAGGTCAGGCAGAGGCAGCCCCCAAGGTGCGAGCCTCGGTCTCGAACACCGTTTCAGTGCGGGGCTGGTGCTGTGAGTTGCCGCAGCCTCATAAATGCCAGCGTTATGACACTGGATATATATAGGACAGGGACCTGGGATCATGTTCTGCCGTACATCTTTAGTACGGAGTCAGCCAAAGCCGGAGAGATCTTGACATGTTTGGAATCGGAGTCGGCGTCCCTCAAACTGCCCAAAGAGGGAGGGACCATGTTTACGATGTTGCAGATTCGCGTCCCCCACCTGGGGAAAGAAAAGAGTAGCTGCCGTGCCCCAGAATTGCGCCTTATTCATCAGTTGAAGCCCATAGGTGTTGCCAGCCTCCACTTCACAGCTTGAAACCCGACTGCGCTGCAGAGCTGCAGAACCAAGAACTGTCAAGCTGACTTGATAAGAAATGGTCCTCCCAAAAGACAGCGTCTTTATCGCGAGTTCGATCGCCATCCGCCGTCGCTCATCAATCTCAGGCATCGTTGTTTACCCACGTCCGGCATAATTACGGCTGTTGCCAACCGCCAGTACGGAGCACCATCACATCACAGCGATTCGGTGCTGGAAAGGGATTGGACGGGACGACGGGAGCTCGGCCAACCCTATTATCACCCGTCTCATCCAATATAGCTTCACAGCTGTGACTCCGGAGTATATCGCCATCCATTCCCACCGCCCATTCTTGACGCACACGATCACCAAGGGCTGGTCTCAAAAATGACGATTTTGTGGCTCACTTGCACGACGGCTTTCCCTTAAACGTTTGCTTTGAACGTTTTGGGCTTTTGCCCTGGCTTGCAACCCCCTGGTCTGGTCTTGGCTGCCCAACTGGCTGGACCCTTGATTTCTGCCAGCAGGGACATCGTGGCCTCGGCCACCACGAGCCAGTAGCGAGATGGACAGCCCAGATGCCCCTGCCATCACCCCGGGGCCCGCTGTTTTCAAAGGAACAAGCCCGGCGGCTCCCAATGGGCTGATGGCCCTGGAGCCGCCGGGGCAGAGCGTTGCTGATGACATGCCCTGGCTCATCACAGAAGCAAGGGCAGCCCACGTTTCTTCGCCGTTCCTGGAAGAACCCTCGACTCCCCCGACAAGATTGAGCTTCGATCACAGCAACTTAAGTCTTCAGCTCCCTTTCTTCAACAGCATCTCAAACACAGATCGTCACTCAGCAGACGCCCTCGCAGCAAACGACCCGAGACAACCCATCGCAGCTCACACCAAGTCCCACCTCCTCACTTCCACGTTTTTCCTGTCTCCATCAGCATCAACTTCCAGCCTTTGGTCTTGCGGCGACCACCGCGAAGTCGGTGACGAGGGTGGCCAAACTCAAATCACAATGCCTGGACCGATACCCGAGACGGATTTAATCCGATTCTCGCTCCTTCCCGCGTCTGACTACACTTCAGCATCCTTCAGACCTCATATCCGCTCCAGATCAGCAACCGGAAAACACGAGCGCTCGGCCAGTCCCCTCTTTTCACGATGGACAAGGCGGCAGCAACGTCCTCAGAGTCAGTCTAATGGACAGTTATCAAAGCTCTCAGGGCCGGGACGAGCCTCAATGGACGGTTACCTCAGAAACAACCACAGGCGACCTGGACATTCGAGGTCAAACAGCATCCAAAAACGACAGCCTCAAGCCGTTGTCCCTCAGATGACCCGAGAGGAGTTTGAAGCTCTTCCGGTAGCCATACAGCGAAAGGTGTGTAGGAGCAGTCTACTTGATTCTTCTTCTCTACTGTCGTCATCCCCTCCCCCTCTCAACCTTTTGAAGCCGTGCTGGTAGCTGCCAGATTCCGGTAGCCGCGTTCGTGTGCCCGGCCACAAGTTTTTGTTTTGTTCGCTTGGCAGCGTATAACTGTTGTACAAGCTCATCACTCCCGCCATTGGCTCCCCCAAGTGCTGGAGCCTGCATGCAAATTCACAAGCACACTGCTTACGCCCAATGGGAGCGCTCTACACTAATTGTTTTTCTCTCAAATGGCACCTTTTACGCGTTCCGCGTCCCCTTTCACATCACAAAAATTGGCCATTAGAGGGCGAGAAGAGGAGGCCCACTGGCATTTTGCCTGGTTGCGACGGTGGTAGCTCGGCGGTCATGATCTCCATCCAGTGGATGTGAAGAAAGATCTGACTGCCTCGGGGTTGGGATGAGGTTGATGAGCGGAATCTCAGGGCAAGATTGGCATATTTGGGGAGGGGTGGGCCAAGCCTTGGGATTGCCGATCTGGGTACTACGTAGTCCGCCACGTCCGCAACCTCCAAGCATCTCGAGATTCCACTTCCACACCATTGAGAAGCTCTGAGGACGAACCAGCGGGTTGCCTGAGAGACATCACAATGGAATTGGTCCACCGACGCTGCAACCGTGGGGCTTTGTCCGAGCCGTGCTGCAAGAGCAGTGATCCGTCCAGATTTTCGCTTCTTTTTTGCGCCCACCCCCACGATTGCCCTCCCTCTCCATCTGGTGGTGGTATATTGGCAAATGGGGACGCAGACGGCGGAAGAGAACGGGCTTGTTGCGGTCAGCCATAATGTGCCTGAATGCTCGCCTGCTGCATGCATGAGTTGCAGTGTTATTGTTGTTGTGTCTGGGCCAAAGCTGGTTTCCAGGCTCACACTTACACGAGAGGAGGGTGGCATTTGCAGTCGAGTGGCACCTTGCAGCGTCACCGCAGCGCGTTTTGGCCCTGAGCACACAGCACCATGCAGGTCCCGCGGCTGCTTTTAGACTGGTGTCCTGTGCCCCCCCTCGATCTCCCTCCCCTGAATGGTGACTGCCAACCGCTGGACAGTTCTGCAGGGCCACCCTCCCGCTTAGCTCGTCAAGCTATCGTATATTGGTGCTAGGGGCAGAGGGGGCGTCAGGGGGGGGTGCACGAGGTCGCCGACTTGTATCTCACACCCTCATTTCTTTTTTATATCAATATAGCTACCTACCTAGCACCACCCTTCCTTCTCGCGGCCGTCACTGAAATAATCTTCCCTTGCAGTACTTCTCCACGCTCGAGCGGCTGCGTTTTGCCCAGGAGTCCGGACTCGTCGACGGCATCTCACAGCACTACGACGACATAGCCAAGGGTTTCAGACGGCGGAAGGCTCGTCAAGACCGCAGCAACTCGGAGCAGATCGTTCGTCATATCCGGCGGGGATCAGTGATTGAGTCTCACTTCTCCGGCTCCAATTCGTCTGATCCTTACACCACCCGATCGGACACCACGCAGGAGACGGAGCTCAGCCGGGAGAAACAGGTTCTGCTGGCAAGGCGTCTGCGTGCTAGTGTCATTCTGGACGCGGCTGACGAGGCGGTATATAAGCTTAACCGTCAGGCGAGTCGAAGAAACCTGACGACGGGTGTTGACAGTCTTCCATCACCACTCTCGCCAGTACGACACAGCATGGATTCACACCGGGGTCTCAGAGGGCCTGTCGACCAGGCGGACGACACCCGTGTTCCCCAGTCATTCATCGACAGCTTTAGGTGGTTGGATGAGGAGGAGGACCTAGACCTTCGTCTCTTCTTGGACGACTACCATGCCGGTCTTCGAGAGGGCATGCCGGCGGCTAAGCAGAGACCTTCGTTTCGTCGCCACCTGTCCATCTCCAAGATCCCCTTTGGTCGGACATCGCTTTCTTCCATCAGCAGGCCGGCCACCAAGGATGCCAATACCTCGCCCATATCACCAAACTACTATCCCCCAGCCAGCGGGTCCTCGAGCCCGGTGTCGCACAGCCGGCGCAAATCTCGCACTCTATCATTGATCACACCAAAACATGCCCCTCAACAGTCCATCACGGCGATCGATCCGGCCGCGGCGCACTACCAGGATCCCGAAGCTCGTCTCAAGCTTCGAGTGTATCTGGCTTCACCCCAAAAGTTTGACGAAGCAGTGGAGTTTGGTTTCCCTGCGGCCGACGTCCTCTCTCGGGGTACGACGCCAGAAAGTGACGGTGACGTGGCTACTCGCCGACAATCACGACAGAAACCAGCCGACGATCCGTCAAACTTGCAGTCATTTTTGGCGGATGAAGATGAAGACGAAAACATTTCCCTCAACAGCGACCCGGATTCTCTGGCGGATCCCGAATCGCCCAAGACACCAGAATCATTCGAGAACAGAGCCGGCGGTCTCCGCCCCGCGCGATTCGCTTCCCCTGACATTGCTCAGCATGCCCGTGTTAGAACGCCCGAGGTTGGAAACTACGCCCAGGCTCCAGTGTCATCCCGTGAGATGACGTTGCGAATGACGCTTACCCGACCCGACCTACGCGCGCACGAGGATGAGATTTACGGCTGGCAGCAACGGCAGCAGCAACAGAGCTACCAGCAACATGCTCGCCGGCCAACGGGTGGTGCGAGCGGTTCTGTGCCCCTTGCCGAGGGTGGGAGAACGGTGGGATCGAGGGAGGGTGTTACCCCCAAGGAGAGCATGGACTGGAGCAAATTTGATGGGGTTGACCATTGGAACCCGAACGGGACGGAAAAGGGGGTCATGAAGCGGATCTGGAATCGTATGCGGCGCAATTAGGGGGGAAGCGGTCAACGGACGCTATTTGTGTGTATGTGTGACCTCAAGTTGCCACAACACAGCGTTCAACTCACCTCAGTTGTGGCTTGCATATCATTTTCACAAACATCCGAATCTTTTTTTTATTTTTACGACAGAGACAACAATTGCAATCTTGTGGAGATTTACAATCGATCAAATACACATTTTTGACAATTTTTTTTTGGCATGGCGTTGGGGAATTGGGCGACGGGATGGGGATGGCCGGATTTTGATTTATTTTTTTACACAAAAAAAATTGCATGGAGGGATTATTTTTTTGGTTGTTTTTTAAATTTTTTTTTTAATTAGTACATCTTTTTATCATCGAGCATTATCATCTCACGATGGGGGAAAGTCAGTAGGCGTTTTATATTCTTGTAAATATCATCACACGGCTTTTCGGGAGGTGCAAATCTATCGTTCTGTTTTCTCTTCTACCTTACTCAAAGGTTTTCTCTGGTGACTTTGTGCAACTGCCGTATGATGCAGTACGATGATTCTGGCAGATGGGCTGAGGGCAGGCAAGGGGGGGGGCTTTGACGCCCCACGAAGTGACAGTGACGGCGGCGGCGGCGAGAGCGGGTACGTGGACACACCACGTTGGGCCCCTGTTCGGCGCTACGACTTTGGAAAGGAAAAAAAAGACATGTGCTTTTTGGACAAAGGCCGAAAAGAAGAGGTTGTATGGGGTTGTACAGAGTATTGGGCGCCTCTTTTTTTTGGTTTTTTTGGGTTGGGGGGGTGGGGGGGGGGAATTGGTGCTCTGGGGTCGGGTGCGCCGTGGATGGGTGTTGTGCATTGTCACAATTATGGGTTTATGCTATATCTACTGTTTTTGGTGGTGTTGTTGGGTGTGGCATGACGATCTTGACCTCGAGGGAGGTTTGTCATTGCTACCCAGACATGGGATTAACGTGAGATGAACTGATTCACACAAAAATCTCCAGGGCGAGAAACACATTTGTGAACGGGACGGCCGAGTGGTTACCGAGTTCTAGAATAAACAAGCGAGATGTTATGTTGTCTGGGTGGTGGTTGATTAAGCAAGGGAGGGAAAACAGGAGAGCCAGCCCGCACAGACATCAAGCTCTCTTCATTGATTGTTGTGTGGTCTTTTTTTTTTTTTCTTCCCGAGAACTCTAGCTGGGGGGCTTGGTGGTGATCTTAGTGTCACCCGACACCATGGTATACGACGGTGTTAGTGTCAAAAGATATCGAAGGGTCTAATCTAGTGTAGTGTATCCGCGGATAGGATTTGGCTCTTCTCGATTGGGATGGCACTATCTACAACAACGTGGAGTTCCCCGTGGGGCTTTCGGGGATGGGGACGGGGATGGGGAACGAGCTGGGCGGTAGCAGTGAACAGAAGAGAGAGGGGTTCTCTCTTTTTGCGTGGATTCCGCCTGATGATGAATTCGGGGACGCTACGGATGGTGGTGTTTCGGTTGAGTTGAGTTCGGAATGAGATGTGGGAGGGTAAGAGCTTCGAGAGGGTGTTCTAGCGTGCCCAGATGTGGATGGGGGGATTGTCGTGATGGTATGTATGGTCGGAGTTTCTTCCGGAGGGGTTGTCTGGGCGATGAGATGATAACTAAGCGCTGAAAGAGGTTTACTGTCATTTCGATGAGAGAGGAAGTGAGGTTATTGGGATCAGCCTCGGTTTCATATGAGGTTGGAATTGTGAAGTACATTTGGCCTCGCTGGATTAGGGAATAGTGTATACGTTGGTGCTGTGTTAGTGGCTTAGTGCAGGACATAAAACTCACTGAGGGGTTGTCACAGTTGCGGTGGGTAACTCCTGTTTTTCAGGTTGGCGGGGTAAAGACTTTGGAATTTTGAGTCTTTTGATAACACAAGACTTTGTATAGACAACTTCACGCAGGTCTCCAAGAGAATTAAGACTCCCATTAAGTCTGTGCCCTGCAGAACTCTCGGGACTTTGAAGTCTGTTCACCCTCCCGTCCCATGGTTTGTCTTGTTTCTTATATTTTCATCCCATCTTTTGCTGGCCTTGTTTTGACATTGTTCTTTTCTTTTTCGACGTAAGGATTCGGACGACTGCCGCCCTCACTTTGTCAGCCGAACTGGTTCAATTTAAACATCGGATGGTGGGTGTGTGAGAGTGGCATCCAATGTGCTCCCCGCCTTTTCGAGATTGTGATGTGACGAGTCCTGTGCAGTTCGCATGCATTTGATATTCACTAACAGGACTTCACAATTCAAGAAACCGATACCGGGATGCACATCATCCAGTCAGAAACTGTGGGATGGGCGGTTGGCTGCTGACGGACTTGCTCAGAGGTGGTGGTGCATGTGTGTGCTTTCATCCGATAGTCGAGGTTCTCGAGGTGTTTGCTCCATGCTGCCATAGGCGAGACATGATTAGCCTGGACGGGACAAATCAAAGACAGAGGCGGGAACTGACAGAGGCCTGTCTCAACTTAGCTCAGGCTCATCAATGTTTGTCATTATTGCGCGCGATGAAGAAGTCTTGGGCAACCTGTCAAGATAAAGTGAAGGCAGCACAACATCAGTTTATCGGATACGCCAACCAACTGACACCCTGAACGCAAATGGGTGGGTATGTCTGGCAATGGCAGAGACATGTCGTGCCTTCGTCGAATGGCACAGCAAGGGGATGTAGATAAAATAAATCGAGATTTAGTGAGAATGTCCCGCGAGAGGGTTAGGGTTCGAATGGGGTTATGAGGCGTTTGTACAGAAGGGGCTAGGCAAACAGAAGGAAGGAACGTTGGTGATGATGCCTTCTTCCGCAGTGTTCTCGGAAACAAAATTTCCCACCCTCATGACGGTAAACTCTCTCCGGTACTTTTCTTCATCTTGACCAGAAGATGAGCGACGACCTCTGTACGCTCTGCTTGAGCCTCTCCACCACGATACATGAAGCATTCACAGATGAAGCCGAGGCTACACCATTAAGCCCCCTCTGGCACAAGACTCTCGGCGAGGTGCACACCTCCTCCTTCACCTGCAGGTTTTGTACCATCGTTATAAAGGGGTGGTCGCAGTCCAGAGTCGTCCAGGTGGAGAGAGCAACTCTCGAGGCCGATTATGACGCTGAGCACCCGCCAGCAGACCTTCACCGTCCCATTCACGAGATTCCGGCTTATCGAAACGAAGCGGAGTTCGAGATATCCCTGGAGAAGTTACCGCGGTATCTCGATGATGGACGCAGACTGACGAACCGCTGGGCTGTTGTGTGCAACTGTAATGTGAAAAGTAGCACCTCTTTCGATGTGCATCCAAGCCTTCGGGCACATCTGAATCTTGCAAGACTTGATGGTGAGGGGGACACCGAGGCGGCCGATAGGGATGCAGTTTGTGCCCCGCAAGAGCTTCGGATCGGTCAAGCTACCCTGGAAGCCGAACCAGGCGCAGAGACAGGACAGGACATCAATGTGGTCCCCCTGGTGTCTGCAAGTCCATTGTCAAAACAAAGCCTAACGCTGGCAAAAACATGGCTCAACAAGTGTGTCGATGAGCATGGTAGGACATGCCAGCCACTCGACAAACCTGTAAGATGGATGCCTTCGCGATTGATTGAGGTCTTTCCTGGAGGAGACAGGATATATCTGCAAGAAAAGAAGTCAATCGACTCGGACGGCCATGATCAGGATGATCGTTTTGTTGCGCTAAGTCACTGTTGGGGAGCTGGAGGAGCACCTTTTATGACAACTCGAAAGACCTTGGCCCTTCACACCCACGAAGGAATCGAAATATCAAAGCTACCGCAGACCTTCCGGGATGCAGTGATCCTTATGGCGAGCTTGGGTCTTCGATATGTGTGGATTGATAGTCTTTGCATCCTTCAAGACGACCCAGAGGATTGGGCCCGAGAGGCGGCTCAGATGGCGGATATTTACCGGTACGCCCACTTGGTCATCATCGGAGCGAATTCTCCTGGGGACACCTTGGGGTTCCTTTCCTCAAGAGAGGCTCCTGATGTGGTGCCGCTGCCACCACCACCACCCACCTCGCCATCATCTTCCAGAACGACCACCAACATCAAGCTCTGCCTCCAACTTGACGACCGTGACTGGACCTACAGCTGGAAATCAACAGAAAATACAGACCACCTCCGAAACGAGCCTCTAAGTTCAAGGGCATGGTGTTTGCAAGAGCGGTTTCTGTCCCTACGCGCTCTTCAGTACGGAACCCGCCAAGCTTTCTGGGAGTGCAATACCATCAGGGCAAATGAAGATGGGGAGGTCGTAGGTCAGAATATTCTGAGCATGCAGCGGAACCATGTTAGCCGGCTTGCTAAGACGGCAAACGTCAAGAAGACAGTTTTTTCAAATGGAACGTGGAGACCGGCAGACAGGGAGGTCAGTGGAGGGTGTCGGTACAACTGGGTGGATTGGTACTGGGTGGTGCAGGATTTTACTGCACGGGATATCACCAAGGCGACGGACCGGTTTCCTGCTGTGGCTGGGTTGGCAAGGGAGCTGGTGCGTATTAGGAGCAAGAATGATCACGAAGCTATGAGGGAGATGCCGGGTGAGTATATGGCTGGTCTGTGGAAAAGTGGTGTTCTGGAGGGGCTGTTTTGGTGCAGAGCTGGCCCTGAAAGACTGCTTGAACCGACAAAGGAGCATGTTGCCCCGTCGTGGTCCTGGGCTTCGGTTATGGGCCAGGTTCAGTTTCCTGTCTATGAGTGGTATGAGAAGCGCGCTGCTTGGAAATCGAATGTCCTTGACTTTGAGCCGTTGGCAGAGTATGTTTCCCACTCTCTGGAACTGAGGGATCATGATCCCTTTGGCAGGTTAGCGGGAGGCACTTTGACGATGAGGGGGCCACTGTTGCCCGTCACCAAGATCAAAGCAAGGCAAGAGAAGGAACCGCCGTTGAATGATGCCTATGGGCTTGCACCAAGTCGATCTGAAATCACAGACGGGGTATATCGACTGCAGACTGAGAGGAACGGTTGTATATGGGTAGAAGGTGGTACGGATTTTCCATCTTCTGATAGTCAAATTGACACAGACGGGCTGGCAGCAATGCTCTTGATTCGTGTGCCGCATGTGCTGGATCACGGCTTTGTTGACTATCGATTTGGACTTTTGCTGAAGAGGTTGGACGATGGATGTTATCAGAGGGTTGGATTCATTGATGGGGCCATTATGAAGGAAACGGGGCTCCCTTTCTTCAAGAGCTTTGAGGTTGTTGGATATCCCCGACCATATGAAGAAGGGGATATGGATCCTCCTCCGAGGTCGAGTACACTCGATTTCACTATGGACGATGTCCGGAGAGACAGGAGGGCCAGGCGACATAACGACCTCGCTCTAGATCCGCTGCGGTTGGAGAAGAAGGAGGTGACGATTTGCTGATATTGATGGAAAAAACCACCTCGTAGCCAGACGTTTGGAATACTTTCTCTGAACCCCTGATCAAGAAGAAAGGTGGCTGTTAGCTTCTCAGAGGTTGTTCCCATTCGAAGCTCATTGCACACCAAGCACAGCTCGCCACCATCATGACTGGTGACCGTTTGGATCAGCATCTTCACCAACCAGTTGATTCCTGGATTTATTTCAAGTCCACATTCCAAGAAATGACCGTGACAGCAAGGTAAAAACCCCGACTGAGTCACCTCTATACCCTGCATTTCCCCGCGTTTTTTTTGTGGCTGCCCGGCGCTGGCGTTTGTGATTCGCGGGGAGTGACATCGCTCGCTCGTTCAATTTGTCCCTTGAGGAGCCGCGGTTGGTTGGAGGGTGAATTGGAGGAGGTGGGAGGTGAGATGAGCGTTACTGTTTGTGCGAAGCGACGCGACACGATCGTCGTGTCGAGTCGAAAGAGGGACGCGCGCGCGTGACGAGCTTCTTGTTCGTTCGTTCGTTCGTTCGTGGGTGGGTGGGTGCGTGCGTCCGTGCGGTCGATATAA